AAAAATTGACAAAAAAAACCAGAAAAATACACAAAAAAGAATTCCAGTCGGAGGTGGCGAACGGCCACGGCCACGAGGCTAGAGTCCAAAAACCAAGGAAAACAGACGTGAAACCAGAAAAATAAACAAAAAAAACCCAGAAAACTAGACAATAAAAATACTCGCTCCCGTCAGTGTAGTTTCAAATTCGTGAGGCGTGCTTGATGACATTATTGGGCTTGGGGCTTCGCCGTTTGGGCTGTGGGGCTGTTGACAGTTGACAATTTTCACGAGGACTGAAATGAAGCACCCAGGACCACGTGCCGGATGAAGTCGTCGTGTCCGACTTCCGCGGATCACGGAGTTTCTACATGTGCGGGGCTCAACTACTGTAGGGGCCGATTTAATAATCAGAACAGGGTTTTTTGGGTGCTCCTTATTATAATCATAGTATAATACACCCCAAAACCCTGTTCGAATTGTTAAGGCCCCTACAGTAATTACTAGAGTTCAGAGGCGGTCTTGCCCTCAGACGGTTCTTCGGTATCTGAAGCGTGTCCGTTTGTGGCTCCTGAAATTGCTCCTTGCCTTCGCCGCGTTATGATTCCTCATGTGCGAGTAGAACACCAAAGTGGCCGATGAGTTGCACTTGATGCCCTCATGAACTCCTCGGTGTGTCAGGCACAAAAACAGAAGACCTCACATTCATAGTCTGATAGACAAATGGTAGATTGTGAAACACCCTGGCTCACATTTCAGTCCCGTCCTGCACAAGTGTGATATCTGAGGCGCTTCACAAACAAGCAGTGTGCCATCGTGTTGCGCTTCATGCGGCGGCCTGGACATGTTTGTTTCGTCCCGGTTGCGAGACATGACATGTGCCGAACTGAGTATGAGAGCGGGCCTACAGCCAGCCCTTCGTTTCATGAACAGTCTTGTTTATTGGGCCGTGATGCCGTCGACAGTCATCAGAATGCAGACACACCAATATGTCGTAACCAATGAAAGTTCCTGAAGATAGTTTGAGCCAGCACAGTGCATTTTTCGGGCCATGCGTCTTGGTGCTGGTACCCAGTCGGACTGACTATGCTAGTGAGGAAATCTTGTACCGCTTGCAAAAATTGGGGCTGTGGTCCGCTCTGCTCCTGTTTGCCATTTCCTTAGCGGTGGGTTGAGGACGGCGGCCTAGCACACACGAGGCTGTTCCTTCTCACTACCACTACACTGCTGCTACTGCTACTGCTACTGCTATTGCTACTCTTACTCCACTTACACCTCCTCCTCCTCCTCCCACTCCCACTCCCACTCCCACTCCCACTCCCACTCCCACTCCCACTCCCACTCCCACTCCCACTCCCACTCCCACTCCCACTCCTCCTACTCCTACGACAACGACTACCACTGCTACTACTGCACTCGTACTTCTACTCCTTCTCTTACTGCACCGATGCTGCTATACTACGACGGACAGCAACAACTAACGCTGCGATTAGTCTCTGTCGAAGTCGTAAGGACAGCCCTCTTACCTCTGTAGCCCCTAAACCCTAAACCCCTAAACCCTAAACCCTAAACCCTAAACCCTAAACCCTAAACCCCTAAACCCCTAAACCCTAAACCCTAAACCCTACAGACTTGTTTTGCTAGGTCTTTCTTCCGGAACCCGGAGAACCAAAAGCGCCTGGATGACTTTGAGTCAACAGCAAAGGGCACTGGGCACGATTACCGAGCCCGGAGCTTGGCCTTCTATGAAAGTTTCCGGAAATTAGGGGTACCTTACTTTGGGGTCCTTTTTGTAAGGATCCTAGTATTTAGGGTGCTATATTAGGGTCCCCTACTTTCTGAAACCCCCCTATGAAAACTTCAGGTTCTTCTTTTCGCTTTGGCAAGCTGCCGGTTTTGGGTTTGGGGTTTGGGGCTTAGGGCTGAGGGTCTCTTAGCTTGGGGCTTAGGGTTGAGGGTCTCTTAGCAGTGCCCTTGAAATTCGGAAGTTTCGACGGAGGTCGTAGGGTCGTGGCAGCGTGGTTGGGTATCATCGTGAGGCCTAAACCCCAGGCCGCAGGATCTCGGATAGGGTTTAACGTTTAGTGTTCCAGTCTAACCAGGGCATCCTCGTCCCAAAACTCGAAACCATTGTGATGTGCCCACATGTACATATCTGTAAAAGACGTGAGAGATGAAGTTCGATATGTCATATGCGGAAAGACTTCGGGAGTTGATAGGCTTGGAGGTTACGGCACTGCGACCGCTATCAAGAGCAAAGGCAACGACGCCAGAAGCAGGGTTCAGACTCCCGCAGCTAGAATGTACTAGCATACCGTAACGACATACTACAGCACACTATCATGTACTTCATACTATGTTATAATATACTACAGTGTGTTGTATTCCTTGAGCGCTGCAGGCCCAGCTGGTACAGCTGCTGGCTCATGAGGTTTATCCCAGGACAGGCGCTGTGTTTCAAGCGAGCAAGAAGAAGAGTGTGACTGGTGTAACTTTGGGCTTAGGGCTGGTAGGTCAGTGTTTGTCGGTCTGCGCCCGTAATATTCCTGTATCTATTGTTTGCATAACTTTCGCACTCTATCTCCACATAGCTGTGCACAGCTGAAACACCAACCCTCCGCCAAAGCAACCTTGAGTCTTTCCCTTTGCATCACAAGCCTTATACACAATCCGCCAACTCCTACAACCCGTGGTTGCCGGACAGGCAAGATCCAGAAATTAAGTTCGCAGGACCTACCAAATTGTCTTGACCCCAAAACATAACTAAAACCGCAGGATCTACCAAAAGTTTCACGTGCCAGTCATGGACGACCTCGATGGTCCCAAGCTGATGCAGCTTCCTCGGGGCAATACGTATACTTCCGATAATATCATAGGGGTTTAGGGATTCGAGGGTCATAAGATCTGAAAGTTCCGTGTGTATGCATGTGTGATAATGTACGACAGACAACAGACGCACGATAAATTCAGACATAGATGCATGCATGCATATATGTATGTGTATATATGGTGTATATGTGCTACCTACATCAAGCATCGTAACTGAAATCAGCCGTGGTGCAGAGTGTGGCAAGAGAAGTCGTAACAAGAGTCGTGGTATATCTATGCATGGCGAACAAGAGTTGTAGCAATAGCGGCAATTGCAAGCATGGCACTGTTTGCAGCAGACTTGTTTTGCACTTAACCAAGAACAAGAACTGCCCAATCACCTTCTCTAAACACCCGAAGCAAGGTCCGTAAGTCCCAGCCTATGGCCTACAGAGCGTATGAATATAGCGGGCCGCAGACAGCCTGCCTTGGAATTAAAGCACGTTTGCAGCAGGGGTTATGACCGTCAGGGGAAGTGCCCAAGCGAGGTTTTTCTAGACGCAAGTCCCTGCCGCTGTAGTTGTATGCAGTCTTTGTTGTCTCTCCTTCTCTCTCTCTCTCTCTCGTACTCTCTCTTTCTGTCGCTCTCTCTCCCCCTCTGTCTATCTCTGTCTTTCTCTCCCCGCTCTTTCCCTGTAACTCTGTCCTCTCTTCTCTCCAACTCTCTCGCGCATTCGCTTTCTAAAGCTCTCTACATGATCCGTTCAGGCTTGAAGCCATGTCCAACGTCTCTTCGAGCAACCTGCAGGCTACAAGGGAAGGAGCAGTTTGATGGGAAGGGACTTAGTTCTCCCCAATACCCAACCTTTAAACTTTTTGGGTCCGTAAACTTAGTAGTAACCTGAGAGTTTAACCTTTCATTTCCCTGGCTTATTGGGGTAGCAAGGGGAGAAGGGGCAGAGATTTTCTGGTTGTGGTGATCGTAGTTTTGCTGATGCTTCTTCTGTCGCTGCCGGCGATGATGAGCTCAGTGTGAAGGTAATGACAACGAGCTTCCCAGTAGCATCCGTTGTGTTCATTTGTTCGTTAGGCAGTCCCTGTCTAAAGTGAACAATAGAGGGAAATTAATCGTTCTCTTGGGTTGTTGGGGAAGTAGGGTCATTTTTATGTTAATGAGTCGTTGATAATGATTAAATTCAAAGTACTTACCGGGTTTAGGACTTGCCAGCTTGCGGTTCAATTGCTGCCCTTCGTTTGTATCTGCTCGTGTTGGGACATGAGCAAGCCGACACAAAGCACATCAGTGTAGAATCACATAGCGCGAGCCTATCGACCAAGACCTACCGGCATTTTATATAGTTGCAATGATGTCGTACAAAGTTGTTCCCGGTCTTCGAGCTTCGGTGTTACAAACGACAAGCGCAAGGGATGGCAGGTCGTGGCCGGAAAGCAAGACTTATGGAAAGCATCGATATTTGCGCCTTGTACTTCGCAGCATGTAACAGCGGTAGTTGTTGGCCCAGATTGGACGTGCAGCCTTTCAGCACGGTGAATCATACCGGCTTACATCCCGAAGACTCCCGACGGCCGAACATGCCGGCCAGGTGTGCGAATTGTGGATGGAGGTAGAGATGCTGATGCGGAACAAGGCCTGCTCTCCAGAGATTCCGCGCTCAACATCCAAGACTCTAGGGGGATCCAGGGGGTGTGTACGAAATACTGACCATAGGGGCCTCAATAATTACCCATACTATTTTGGGGGGTTCCTTATTATGGTTATAGTATAAAATCCCCCAAAGCCCTATTCTAAGTACCCTATGTATATATATATATATAGTTATTCAGGCCCCCAGATTACGAAACACCTATCCATAACCCATACTTTTTTTTTTTTGGGGGGGGGGTTCCTTATTACAATTGTTATATAGTGTAACATATCCCAAAGCCCTACAACTGCCCTCTAATATGCCCTAAATACCCACTTTTAAGGACCATAAGGGCTCCATTCAAGGGCCCTTGGGAAGTCCTGGTAAGGCCCCTACAGCACGAAATACCTAGCCATAACCCATACTATTTTGGGGGTTCCTT